GTAGTTTTATACTGTGATATGTAGAAAGCCCGTAGAGCTGTTCACCAGGCCATGGTCTCTGCCGACTGAGGCGCAGTCCCTCGGAGACACATGTGAGAGTTGTGCCAAGTGAGATAGACCTAGGAACAGCACAGTCAATCGAGTAGAAGTGGTCTCTCTCCAGATCTCCTCATATTTATTGCAAAATACAGTAATTTTATGAAGCGGAGGGTGGATCTAATAACAGAAATTGTTTCATATTGGCACTTACTTCTTCAACTTGACCTTCGCTGACTGCACAGATTTTGGCGTAGTTACTGATGAAGACAAGGGTCAGGGCGCGAACTGAAGGCTAGAGGTAAAAAAGGAAAAGAAATATTGTACATTTGGTAGGAATTTCCACAAACACACACACACACACACACTTGCGGTCAGAGAAAAACTCACCGAAGGCAAATAGTGAAGCACAGCGCCAAACAGTCGGATTCCTTTGCGAACAGAGAACAGCTCCAACACAGGTACGGCCAGTGCGGATGCATCCGAAATCAAATTGATTACATTTACCGGTAGACCAGCTGCTAGTTGTACACTGGTGGAGCACAATTCACACAAGAGAGCCTGTACCAGATCCAGGCGGTGCTTGGTCAACCGACTGCGCCTATTTAAGACGAATAAAGTGATTACAACAGAATTCATTCATACGCTGACAAACAAAGGACCAAGTAACTAGTCCATGAGGCTTGAACGTATGAAATCACCAGACAGTCACTGGAAAAAGCGAAGTTATAACGGACTATGATTCACCACCAAAACCAGCACCGGCACCACAAGGGACAACATAAAGTCTTCCTCTCTCCTCATAGCAAACGACTATGTTATGAATCTTATAATTTGTGTTAAGTGTTCATCTGTAGGGCATCGACATAAGCGCAATTCAGATGGACTGTAAAACTAACGCCAGGATTAGAGCGTTCAATAAGACATCCGCGGGCGCGGAGACTGCCAGATTTTAGGAATAAACAAATGTACCAAACCACCCGAAATCGAAAACCAGTGGAATAATGATTTTATTGACTCACATGTCATTCTGAACCATCACGCGTTTCAGCGAAATATCCACTTCATCCAGATTGAGCACCAAGGTATACATCTATCGAAAAACGTAACCAGCTGATTAGCATTATTTTTAGTATAGGTGTGAAGCTGATACCCATTGAACACTCTTGAGTTAAGCAACCAGCCATATTCAAAATGCCTAAAACTTCATGATCAATTAGATGGCATTAGTTCAGTGGAATCTAGAATTATATGGTTTAAGAGAAATAATGAGAAATCAATCAGATAGATATCGCGGCAGCAACTTCGGAGATCCCAATAATTGTATTGTATTGTGTATAACTTTTGCAAACACTGGAGCTCACATTTCAGTCAAAAAGCATACACGGTAACCGTCACAATGTGCATAATCAACGGGGAGAAAAGTTTTCGCAGGCATGAAGACATTCATAATCCAAGGTTAAGACAAAGTTCACTCATTGTTCGCTCTTTGTTTGTGAGTAGACGAGCAAGATACGGTATGGGTGAATTGCGGTATGCATTAATTCGAGATGAAATTTGACGAAATTGGGAGCGTGTTGAATGATGGGAACGACAACGTGTCAGTTCTGCATACAATGGGTGGTCCGGATCTGTGAGGATCCTCTCGGNCCTCTCACTGAAATATGGCAAATTTCCCAGGCAGTGGGAAATTTATACCATAATCCCGCAACACAAAAGAGCCCCCTACATGATCCCTCTAACTACCGCACCAATAATCACACCCCTATCGCATCGAGACTCTTCGAGCGCCCGGTTAAGGAATATATGACTGAATACCTTCTTTCAAACAAGCTTCTCCACGATGGTCAAAATGGTTTCCTGCAAAACAGGTCTTCAACTTGATTTCCTCAACTTAGTCACCAAAGGAGGGGACAACAGAAAATCCCTGGTGATAATATTTCTCGATATGACCAAGGCGTTTGACCGTGTTTCACATGCGCGGCTCTTCACTAGATTGCAAACATTTGGTTTCAAACCCCTATTCTGATTTGGTTCTCCTCCTACCTCTCCAATCGCACCCAGTTGGTGTATGTTGATGGCCACTTTTTCTTACCTACCCCTGTTACTAGTGGTGTATTCCAAGGTAGTGTCCTGGGGCCCTTCCTTTTCCTCATGTACATTAATGGCATCTTCCCCATTTTCCACCATGGTACACCTTTTTTATTTGCTGGTGATATAAAAATATTATATGAGTTCCAAACACATGTATTGTATTGTATTGTGTATTGTGTATAACTTTTGCAAGCACTGGAGCTCACACTTCAGTTAAAAA